AAAATAAACAATTCATAAGTCTTAAAATATAAGAACAACATACAAAAATTAACTATCTCTGTACACTAACAATAAACAACTTGCAAATACAATTAAGAAAGCAGTTTAATTTATAGTAAAAACAAAAAAGACAATGTCTAGGAATAAATTTATCAAAATAAATGTGAAACACACATTCCTATAAAAGCAATAAAAAATTGTTAGAATAAATTAAAACACACCAAAAGAGAGTCCAGGTTTAGCTCCTCAGTGGCACAGCACCTGCCTATCAAGATCAAAGCCCAGAGTCTGAGTCCCACCACCAAAAAACAAAAAAACGAAACAAACAAACAAACAAACAAAAAACAGAACACCAAAAGAAATTGGCACGGCCTCCCGTGTCCACAGATAAGAAGATTTAATAATGTCAATGCCATGATGTTTCACATATTGATCTACAAATTCAACACAATCCCTATTAAATCCTAGCTGAAATTTTTTTCTGAAATTTAGAGTTGATATCTAAAACTCATATGGAAATGCAGTGGACCCCAAATAGCTCAAATGATCTTGGAGGAAAAAGAACAATACTGGGGGATTCATATTTCCCAATTTCAAAGCTTTCTGAAAAGCTGCATTGATAACATTATGTGGTACTATGTAAGGATAGCTATATGGTCCAGCAGAATAGAAATGAGAGTGCAGAAATAATCCCTCATATTTATGCTCAAATGTTCTTCATGAAGTGCACTACAAAATTCAGCAAGGAAAGAATAGTTTTTCATCAGATTTTCAGCTTTGTATCACTATAACAAAATTCCTGGCTGAAACTACTTAGGAAGTAAATAGAGATTTATCTTGGCTCTTGGTTCTGGAAGTTCAAGTCTAGGACTGGGCAGCCCCCACCTCCTTCTTAGTAGGAATTTAAATTCAGGTGATGTGATCTACCAAGCCAGTTTTTCCTACTATGTAGGGTACATGTGCCATAGTTTCATGGATATATGTCAGAGTTTCAGTTGCAGTTTAATAAGATCTCAGGATTCATTTGCCTAGGGTCACATACAAATGGTATGGAAATGTCTATAGTAAAATTAGATATTGAAATATCTATTGACTTGACTATTTCCCCATGCTTAGCATTGTCACATAAGCAAAGAAAGTTAGAAAATAAAAGAAATTCAGTGAATACTTCAGCATCACAGCTTCAGTCTGAAAATCTATATCCCTCAAAATTCAAGTGTTGAAACTTAGAACCAAGACCTGTCATGTAAAGGTACAAGATCCCAATGATGAATGTAACTATACTGCATACTTAAAATGTATCAATAAACTCAATGAGAGAAAAAAGTGTTGAAACTTAATCACCCAGGTGATGGTATTGGGGGTGGGGCTTTCACAGATGATGAGGTCATGGGGGTAATACTTTAATGAATGGGATTACAGCCTTATGAAAAAAGCCCCAAAGAGTTTCCCTATTTCTTCTGCTATGTGAGGTTATGGCAAAAAGATGTTCATCTATGATCCTGGAAGCAAGCCTTGACCAGATGCTGGTACTGTAGACTTCCAAGCTTCTAGTACTGTGAAAAATACAATTGCTACTATTCATAAGCTATTTCATTTATGATATTTGTTATAACAGCCCAAACAAAGACACTAATGTATTTAGACTTTCCAGTGGTACCCTGTATAAAGATCAAATAGATCTATGGTTCTTGACTAGGGACTTTAAAAACAAACTGGATCACACAGCTCTCCACTTGGCTAACTAGACAGGCCCAACTTTTAATCTTCAAGTGTAATTCTTAACATACTACCTAATGTGGTATTTTGGGGTTCCTATTCCTGAAAGGCTTGTGTCCCTTAGAGTTCTGACTTCTGCAAAAAATGACTAGCATGTTCTAATGGGGAAAAACTATTACAAAATAATCAGGGAATTGATCCAACCACTCACACACACTCACCCAAATGGCAGATTGTTCAAATGCTGTGACATGAATCAATACCTTTTCCATCAGGCCCTTGCCATCTGGGCTGGATTTTCTTTTCACAGATTAAAAAGCATTTCCACATTTACAGATGAAGCTACAAAAGCCAAGACTATAGCATGCAACCCCTGATTTTCTCTTTTCTCTCATTCACTCAAATCTCTGGTACAGAGCTCAGACTCTTGATCTTTCTCTTTCCTCAGAAGCAGGAACCAAGTCTCACAATTGTTGTTTGTTTGTTTGTGTGGCTGGTTGGTTGGCCTGGTTTGTTGTTGTGGTTATACTCATTTTCATTTCTTCTGCCCATCTCCTACGTTTGCTTCTTTATTGCTTCACACGTGCACCACAGAAATTACCTCCAGAGTGCTTTTGCTTTCCTTGTTAGTGGTCCCACTGATGAAATCCATAGCTCTAACTTTTTAACCTGGTATTTAAATGGCTGCACACATGATCTCTATCTTTTTCCCCTGTACTTACTACTATGTAAATCTTCTGGTTCAGCTAAAAGGCTCTAACTGGCGTTTCTAAAAGGATCTATTACCTCAAATTCAAATGGTACTTTATGTAGGAAAATGACATGGCAAAACCTGTAGCATACATAAGGGTGAATTATTTTGTCTTTTACCTACCTCTGGTTATCCTATTGTCACTTTTTCTGCTCTAAATAATTTGAGTATTCTTCTCCTTATCTAGTTTCCCTAATCCTCACTCCCTCACATTTTTGGCTTAAAATCTTTCTGTCTCTCTGTCTCTGTCTCTCTTTCCCCCTACCTCTTTCTCTCTCTCTCCCCCCATCTCCACTTCTCTCTGCCTTTCTGTTTCTACTGTCCTTCTAGATCCTGCACCTTGCCCCAACACATGGGAGGTTTTGAGCCTGCATCTTTCTCCCTCATCATCACGTCATATTCTACTCTGACTATTCATCAATATCTAGCAATCCAGGGAAAAGTTAAATCCCAGGTTCCCATTACCAGGAAGAAGGTATTTTGTCACCTCTTAAAAATATCTAGCACTCGATACCACCCCCATCTGCCCAGAACTCAATCTGGGATCCTTCCTATAGCCTTCTATGCCTTCTTTACACTATTCACCCCATCCACAGTGATCTTTGTTCTCTGAGCGATTATAAAGCCAAACTTCTATGATTCATTTTTTATGATACCACGAATAGTCACTTAGTCTTGGCCTCAACAGTTTGTTTCTACATACACAAATACATTGAAAACTCCTTCATGGTAATAGTAGCTTATGTGCATTGGTAGTCTGACATTTTAACATAATCAAGTAGTAGTATTATAAATAGATGACCTAAACAAAAATATTATAGGCTATCAGATAGGGCTAATCCTTGAAGGGTCAAGACAAGCGTGAAACATACCACAGTGACAACCGGAGATATATCAGCTGAAAACCAGACCTCAAGAAAAAGACAAGATAACCAGACCAACATACTTCCTCTAAGAACAAACTCAGGACCTAATGAAGTCTAGATAGAAATCAGCCACCTGGTGAGTGACCAGAGACCTCTGGACCACTTATTAGGAGAATCTTTGCTCTTTCCATCCACTCTTGTTATGGAACTTCTTTCCCAATTGGACCACCATTACTTGTTACTATACTTGGAACCTTATTGGGTGATCATGGCTATGGTCCACATTGTACCCATGTGGATTTCACCCTATAAAACTCCTCTGTAAAGTGGGTCCCTAGGCTCCCCACTTGGGTCCCCATCCACCCCTCAGGAGCTTACCTACCAATAAATATCTTCTTATCAATAAATATCTCTTAACCTCCTAGAATTCACTGTTTGATTTTTAGAGAATAAGAACTTGGTATATCATACTGCTAACAGGTTGGGAGATATAATATATATTTGACATTTCATCTCTCCGGTATTGTTTCTTGTAACAGCAGTTACCACCTGATCAATGCTAATAGGTTAGTGGGCTTGTTAGTCACACTTGAAGTGATTGTAAAATTCCTTCTCTTAGTTGTGTTCTTAATAGAGGCCTTATGAAGGTCAATAAAGCAGAAAGCTATTGTTTTTCCATGGGAGAAGAGACCAGATGAGAGAACAAGGACTAAGAAGAGAATATTTGCAATCCCAAACAAGAATGTGCTAGACAACATTTTACTCCAAGTCAGAGATGAACTTATATAACATTTTTCAAATAAGAAATCCAGATAGTTTTAATTCTCTAAATTCCTTTTTCTGAACATTAATGTGTATATATACACACTTTACCTAAATCATACTTCATGCAACTTTGGAGTGCTCTCTGCTGTGGTCATTATAGCCCTGACCTTTGTTTACCCTTGAAATTTAACAGAGCTTTCCTTGTTCTGCAGACACCAGAAAGCAGTAAGATAAACAAATCTAACAATGGAAAGAGGAGATGTTACTGATAGTCCCAGTGAGGAGGGGGAATAAAAGCAGAATTACCTTTAATATACAGTAAGTATTATATCCAGAATCTCACTATGAAATGAGACAAAGCCCAAAAAGAGAATGCTCTTCCACTTTTATTTGAGGTGACAATTCCCCAAACAATGAGCTGCTTCTTTTGAAACAAAAGGAGGTCATTTTCTTCTAGTTGTGCACAATAGGGAATACAGAGGAGAGTCTCAACACTGCTTTGCTGCTTTAAAAATGCAAGATGGGCCCATTTTGCTTCCACAGAGGCTGCATTTCTCCACTATATATCCCCCATCCTGTCCATATGAATTAGAAAGATATCTAAAGCTTATCTGTGGGTATCAGCCAGGGAAAATGATGTTTTGTGCCTAAACCAGGAGATATGACACTCTCTTTCCAGAAACAGAATTTTAAAAGAATTCACTTATCTAGAATAAATTTTGATATTGCAAACTTAATATCTTTTTGTGTCTGATCTCTTACCCTATAGCAAGATCTTCTCCAAATAATTGCACTTCCACCTTTAATTTTAAAGTTTATAAATAAATACCCTGTACGATTTCTAATTAAACAAAGATGCATGTGTTACTGATAGCAGTTTATTGTAGCATTGCCATTAATAAAGTTCTTTATTGTTACAGGGAAAAGTGAAGGTTAATTTTGATGCATAAATACTTTACCTTAATACAAGTATTTTAAAAGAAAAAAGTATCAAAGGCTTTTTTAGAGCTATGCAGCCCTTTTGTACTTATTTCTCTAATTTCTCTATTACTTGGCAATTACAATCCAATTGGATATTCCTTCTCCATTCTTGTGTAAAGCCTCTGAAGCAGGAACAAATGCCCCCAAATATGGCCATACAATCCTGTAAAAGACACAAATAAATAGAAGTCTCAACATTTCAAATGTACTAGCTGCTGGCAAAAGTATAATTTGGAGGCACAAACTCTGGATTTGAATCAATTTAAATATAGAATTGATTCTAAAAATTCAGGAAAACATACAGAAAAGTTCATTTTCTCCTGTACCTCTGCTTTAGATTATTGCAAGAAAAGGAAATTGAATTTTTCAACAAATAATCATTACACAGAAGTCTATTTTGTCTTCTATGCCAGAGCCCCCACCGTTACATATGCATAGTCAAACCATCCCGAAAGCTCACAAACTTTATTTAACCGAGATTTGATACCTACTGGCAACTTTGAGAAAAAGACATCAAAATGGAGGCTTTGTTAAGTTTGAAAAGCAATGCAATGGCTTCAAGTGATAGAGCTGTCCTTTCAATTTCTTATTTATAAACACAAGCAAATATTTCATTGGCAATTTTGCAATCTGTAAAAATGCAACACAGTTCTCAAAGCAGAGATTCAAACATCCAATAGGTATAGTTGAAGGGAGAGGGGAGTAAGAGTCAATAACTGCGTCATTACTGGAAAATAAAAACACTGCCCATTAGAAAAATTAAAGAATAAGGTCTAACTATGACAAACTGCTTGATTTCCTTTCATACGATTTTGGATTTGCATTCAAACTGAGCACCAAAATAACTTCCCTTTCTGGGCCCAGAAAAGATTATACTAACTCCTCGGGAATGATGACTTTGGAAGTCTGTGAGGAATGGAAAGAGCAGAGTGTTCCATAAATTGAAAGGACACAAAGCTATTTTCCCTTAGGTTCCTGGAGGAGACTCAGGGTACAGAACCTCCAGGTCAGGGAGCAAATATAATCCCCTACAGGATTCTCAGAAAGAATTCCTCAGAGAGAGCTGCACCTAACTAGCTTTCTGGGGCCCCCCCGCTATTCAAAGTCTCTGAGATCACAGACAGTACCAGCTGGGTGGGAACCACTCGGTTGAAAAATCAGAATTCACACTTGGAAAGGAGCGTTCTGCTAACTTTGTTTCCTGGACGTCCCGTAGAACAAATCCAGTGCACTGTCGAGACAGCACTAAACAGAGCTACTCTCCCATAGACAAGGAACAAACAGGTGAGTGAAAAATCTGCATGCCATGCATAAAACTGCCCTCTCAGGTTCCAGGAGAAGAGCTGCTGAAGACTTTCCTCTTCGCCTCCCTTCTCCGTCCCTGCTCTCAGAGGTCTCCCCGCTTAACAAGAGCTCCCGCAGGACCTGGTGTCCCCTGCTTTGAGAAACCCCAATTTGACCGCCTGAGTTTCACCGTGTCCCGAAGCTGCTTAGCACCGTGGCCCCTGGAGAACTCGGCTGGCTCGCAGAACGCGCTGCCCAGCCTCAGAGCGCAGGCCTCTCACGTCCCCGGCCCCACTCTGCGGCCGGAGGGCGCCTCCCGCAGTAGGTAAGTGGCAATGCCGGGAAGTGAAGACTGGCCCTCCACCCATATGAACAAAAGTCCACTTTTCCCCTAATTGTCAATTTCTTTGGTGTGTGCTGACACCAAGGCAAGCACGGACGAAAAGGATCATAGTGTCCTCGCTCTCCCCCTGTGGCCCGGCTTTGTACTTACAAGTCCACTCTAAGAGGCACCTTCCAGTCACTTGTTCTGAGTCCTAGAAAACACAGCAAGCGGGACTGTGCACAGGTTATTCTGCGAGTCTACGCGAGGAGCAGCCACCCACGTAGGGAAAAGCAGACCCTACCGCCCTCCCAGATGGGCAATGAGTGCTTAGGGACTGGAGAGGGAAGAGAGCCAATTTGGGAAAGGAAAGAAGCAATGGAACCCGAAAAGACTGGCTTTTCTAGGGTAGGAGCGCAAAGGAGAGAAATAATGTCCTAAACTTCAAAGTCCGAGTTCTGGAAGTGGGGTGGGCAGGTGGAAGCTGTTAGTGGGCACAGCGACTGTGTGCAATTTATTTTCCTGTGGGAGTTTTCTGCCTTGAATGGCTGAGGGAGGAGGTGATTAATGGGATCAAACCTGATGCTTAGGCCAAAATCTGAGACAACGTTGCTTCTCACTGAGCCTGGGAATCGCTTGGGTCCCACAGCTGGAGCCCTCTCTCATGGAGCGCCCTCCTCTGGCACAGGGGCCAGGAGGGGGTGAAATCAGAAACCCAGAGGCAAAAGCGGAAAAAGTCAGAGGAAATATAGCATGAGTTATTTTAGGTGTTGATTCCAAGGTGCTGAGGGAGGCAGAGTGAATGAGCCTGGTCCTATGTCCTTACTCTCGGGCTTTTCATCGTCATCATCAGCGGCAGAACTTGCACTTGATGATCTTCTTAAATGCGTTTTGAAAGTCCTTGTTGAAGTAGGCATAAATGACAGGGTTTAGCAGAGAGTTGGAGTAGCCCAGCCAGTTGATTACGGCGCCCAACAGTGTGGGCATGTGGCAGCTGCTCTCGCAGAAGGGCAGGACCAGGGCCACGATGAAAAAGGGCAGCCAGCAGAGTATGAAAGTGCCCATGATGATGCCCAGAGTCTTCACTGTCTTCCTCTCTCGGGCCAGAGCCATCTTGCGCTTTGCCTCGGCGTTGCGCTCATTTTTCCTCTCGAAGGAGGCGGGGAAGCCGAGGTCAGCGCTGGGCTCTCTGGGCAAAGGCAGGTGCTCTCTGGAGTTGCTCACGCGGTGCACCTCGATCACCTCCAGGGTGGCGCCGTTGGAGCACGGAGCCCCAGTTGCCTTGGTCTCCACGCCGCGCCTCCAGTCTCTGTCACCCGGCTGCCCGTTCACGCTCCTCTTGGATGGCGGGGCCGGCGAAGTTCCGAGGCGGGTTTCTACTCCCTTCTTCTCCACCTTCTTGACCGTCTTGCGAATGCGGAAGCGCGCGGCTCGGAAAATGCGCCCGTAGAGAACCAGCATGAGCAGCAGAGGGATGTAGAAGGCGCCGAATGTGGAGTAGATAGTGTAGCCGTGGTCCTTGCTGATGGTGCACGCGTCAGGGTCCGAGCGGTCTTCAGGGGTGCGCCAGCCCAGCATGGGCGGGATGGAGATGAGGAAGCCAATGAGCCAAGTGAGCGAGATGAGCACAGCGGCGCGCCGGGGAGTCCTCTTGTTCACGTAGTCGATGGGGTCCGTGATGGCCCAGTACCTGTCCAGAGCGATGGCGCACAAGTGCAGGATGGACGAGGTGCAGCACAGCACGTCCAAAGCGATAAACAGGTCGCAGGTGATCTGGCCCAGAGTCCACTTGTTGAGCACCTGGTACAGCGCAGCCATGGGCAGCACCAGCACTGACACCATGAGGTCAGTGACCGCCAGCGAACCGATGAGATAGTTGGCCACATTCTGGAGGGAGCGCTCCAGGGCGATGGCAGCTACCACGCACGCATTGCCCAGCACCGCACAGAAAATGAGCATGCCCAGCAGCAGAGAGGTGATCACTTGGTAGCTGAAGGTCACGTCAGAAATCCCAGTAATGTTGGCTCTTGTCCCCAAGGATCCTTGGGAAGTGGTATTGTTGCCCGGGCCAGGGCTGAGCACATCCATGCCGGCTGGCGCGGCCGGAGGGGTGGGGCGGAGGAGGGAGGGGAGAACAGCTGCTGGAGACTCTCCCTCGCCCCTCCCCCTGGGGTCTTCCGCCCCTTCTCCAGGGAGTTCCAGAGGAAGGGGATAGGGGAACTCGAGCGGGAAGTTCTTACTGCTGCGGTGTGTGCATCTCAGAGGAGTAGCTTCTAGGCGCTCTCGTGGCTCCTGCGGTCCAGGGTGCTCAGAGACTCCAGCTGAAAAACTGAAGTTGGCCTGAGAGCAGCTTCTGCGATCTCTGGGTGGCGGAGAGGTAGCTGCAATATCTGTCTCCTACTGTCCATTTTACTTTGCTCCTGCCCTACTGGCTGCTAAAACCGCACTCTCCTCACTAGCAGTCTCCAATTCCAGAATTATCTGGAATAGAGAAACCCCATCCTCCACGGTCACTCTGTGACCCTTTTCTCCCTGTTCCTTCCTTTCCTCCCTCTCTCCTACTGTCTCTTTTCAGCTTCCTCTCTCGGCTCGGTCCCACTAGCCTTCCCTTTCAGTCTCCTCCTTCTCACCTCTTTATCTTTATCCCTCGGTGTGTTGCTCCAACAGTCTCCCTCCCTCCCACGATAACCCTCCCTCCTAGCACTTCCCCAACCCTGAGTGTAGCTTTCCTCTGGGTCCCCGCCCTCTTCTCTTTCTATCTCAGCGTCCTTACATTCAAGTCCCTTTTTGTGGACAGACTCAGTATTCTCTCACACACACCAGATCCGCTGGTCAGACCATTGCAACAAACAAACTCCGCCTCCCACCCAGCCAAACTCAAAGGAGGAAAAAAAATAGCATTCCTAACTACTCATTGCCTTGAATTTCTGTCAAATTCTTAGAGTCAGCATCCCAGGGTGGCAATAACAAGGGAGAGAAGGATACACAAGGACTCTGAAAGAGAAGGTGGACCACTCTGGGTTAGCCTACAAATTTTTGTTAATTAATGGAAAGATAGAGTGTGTCCTGGCTTTTCAAATCACTCCTATTCTTCATCTAACAGTCCAGCCTGACTCCCTTGGGGAAGATGTTGCCTGTGACTTAAATTTAAAAAAACAATACTTGGCAATTGGTGTGGAGCATAAAGGATATGTTAAAGGACAAATATGGGTAAACAGCTGAATGTTAGAGTGAAGAAAACTTAATATATATTCTGGGCACACACACACACTTAAGTCTCCACTACTCTTAATTTCAGTGAACACTGCCACCTGCCAGAGCTTTATGGAAAGTAAATTCAAGGAAGAAAATATTTAGCCTATAAGTTGTATTTTATATGAACCTTTATATTTCTTAGTAGAAGCTGCAAACTTTCAGAGAGAACTTGGTGGAATTCTTTGCTAGCCACTAAATTTCTCTTAATCTCCGAAACCGAGTTCAGCACCGAGGACAGCTCTAAGCAATGAGGTCCCATGCTGCCACCTTCTGGCAAATGCTGTAGAGCGCCATCTAGAAACCGTCTTGCAAAAATTAAACAGATATTGAGGGAATCCAAAATATTAAGGAAAAGGAGTAATGGGGGGAGAACGCTCAGTTTTAAAATTTTTTCTTTAACATTTTCTAACAGTGTCCTCTTCTGCTTTTCGCCTTGTATATCAAGTTTACATGGTCTACTTTCTTTCCAAAGCTGAAGCATCTATGTTTCACAAGATCTGGAAATACTCCTAGGTAACACTTTTGCCCCTATTAGTTTTCTGCTGCCATAGCCTATACTTTAAAATGCACACATCTGTGCACATGTACTTCTTACTGGGAAGAGTATTTCACCTTTCAAATGATATCACTTAACATTGAAAATAAAGAGACTTCCACTGCTTTGGTACTGTTTTTCTTTTCACCAGGAAAACCAAATTAAATCCCATTTGAACAGAGATAAAGAATGGGCTTCCTAATCAACGAGGATAAGCATATTAACACAACAAGTTTCATTTATGGATCCTGGTTATATGCTTGAAGTGAGGGAGAGTGCAGATCGCACTGTTGACTCTGGAAACATGCAGAGATTTGTTACAGAGTACACAGCCCCAACGTAGTGTTCAAATTTGAGCCTTAAATTTCATAGCTTTGAATTCTGCAAGACCAAACAAAAGAGCAGTCTCCAAAGCATCAAAGAAAACCCAGACGGGCCAGTATGTACAGTGCTGGGCAGTGTGTATGAAGGTGGATTAAGTTAGGCACAGTTCTCACTCAATCATTTCCTCCTACCATAGTAATGAAGCTGTCACCTAGGAAGATTCATGGCATTGAAAAGAAAGGGGCATGTACACTTGACGGTACTGACTACAGACTCTGAAGAAGGTTTCTTTTAAGAATTGTAAAGCTATTGATTCCTCTCTCAAACTCTCTTCACAAATATAGAACTAAACTGTTTATAAAAATGCAGTTGCATGTTCAAAAACTGTAATGGAAAATATTTAAAACCTGAATTCTCCAAACACAAAACTTTGAAAATATAGCCAGAAAATATTACTGCAAAGAGATGAAATAAAATTTATATTTTTTAAAAGCTAATATATACATGTCAAGTATCTATTTGAATAAGAATTGGGTCAGACAGCACATGTAAGTATGTAAATGACAATTAAGTCAGTAAATATTTCTGCGGTGATTGTATTTTTATTGATTGGATCCAAAATAGTTTAACAACTGAAAAATTTATTTTTATATTGCAAAAAAACTAAAAACATTTTAAATTTGGGGTTCATATTCTTCAGCTCCAGTATTAGTTAGTCATCTTTAATATCCTACAATGCAACATTTTTAACCGAGTAATTAAAATTTCTAAGTAGTTCATATTCAGAAATAATGTACTTGTTGCATCAAAACATTCATTTCTTAACTTTGAAAACAAGTTGTTAAGCACTCTGAAGAAAGCTAGGATGAAAAGTATCAAAGCAAATGCAGCACTATGAGTTCTGTAACTTGCAATAGATAATTATGTATGTCTCTTCCTTGAACTAATAAACTTGTAATATATAATAAAAACAATGATGTTGCATTTCCTTATGCTCACAATTTGCCAATTCCTCTATATTTAGCTTTTAAACATAAAAATTCCCCCAGGTAGTCCTGAAACAATAGTGCGTGCTAAAACTCCCAATTAAAAATTTAAACCCATATTCTTCAAGGCTTCTGAAGTTGACCTTAAGAAAACCTAGCTTTATAGTGAATATGTTTGATGACACCATTTGGAATAAAAATTTCAGTCATTCGGATATTATTTCTTATTTGAATTTGCTAGATATAAGCATAAGCTTATCAGATTATGGATTTGGGGTATGATACATCATCCATCATATGAATTTTTTCCAAAATTCTTTATAAGAGATAAATACTCTTGACATTTCACAGGAAATTTGAAACAAGCCCAGCATTTCCATGTAGAGTTCACTGACCAAGAATATAGGATAAAAAGATATTTAGCTGAAAATTTTCTGTGAACCTTGTGCTTCATATAAGTAATATTTGGAGCTTCTCAGTAATATGTTTAGCCAACACCTCCCATACATGCCTTTATTTTTAAGCAGGAAAGAGCTTATGTGGTAAGTAGTAGAAAATTTGCCTCAGAAATTTGAAAAGAGATCACTAAAAATTCCTATTAAAATAAAGGCTTATTTTTTCTCAAGTAATTAGAACTAGGATAGACTGTTTTAAACTAAAAATACTATTCTAAATTTCATCTCTCTCCCCAATCATCAAATGCTAAAGTAATAGGACAATTATAATTTCTCAAAAATTGTGGATTTTGATTGGAAGTCACTAGGAAAATAAAATTATATA